GTGTCCCAGAGCCAGCCCCACATAACCGCCTCCATGGGAGGCTGAGGGAAACCCAGCTAGGATCTGCGCCCAGACGCCCCCCTCCCCCCACCCCACCACGGTCTTCTCATTTTCGAGGTGACCATGTCCAGGCCTGGCTCAGCCTCTGGAAGGATACGGTCAGGAGCTGGGAGCCATCCCGGCCTGGCTCCAGCCCCGAGTGGGTGGGGGAGGGAGCGGCATCTTACCAGGCTGCCCACTCTGGACGGTGTCTGACAGCTCCCTGGAGCTCTGGCCCCTGTCACCACCACGTCAGGGCAGAGGCAGCGCGGGCCCGGAGGGAAGGCAGGATGGGCAGGTTTGCCAGAGAGGAAACCTGTGGTGCCAAGGTGGCCCCAGGGAAATGTTGGCACGAGTAGTGGGAGGGGAGGCCTCCGGGTCCAACCGGCCGCTGCCAGGAGAGAGGAGAGCCAAGGGTAGGAAGGCCCGGGAACAGGTCCAGCGGGGGTGCCCGCGCGGGCAGCGAGAGGGGTCGGGTCCAGTGGGTGTCAGGGCGTGAGGGCACTGCGTTGTGTCCGGGGCTCGGCCTGGGAAGACACACAGCCCACCGCCCTGTGCCCAGACACATCCTGGGCAGCTGGTGCCTAAACCCCGGGGAAGGAGCCTCGCTCTGCCCGCATCTCGCCAGGTACCTTTGGGGTCCCCCCACCTTCCCCGAGCCTGCCAGCACCTACGCCCGGGCACACCGACCTCACAGGTGGGACAGGCCCTGCTTGCTGCCCAAATATGTGATGAGGCCAGACTCCTGCTGAGGGAGCCCTCCAGGAGGGGACACACCAGGAGCCGGGCAGGACCCTCGCTCAAACCTGGTGCCGGGAGGAACCAAGGCTCTCCCTCCTCACACTTCCCTGCTTGAGGGAGGAAACGCAAAGCCAGGGGCAGAGGCAGGTGCCCAGAGCCCGTGCCAGCCTGCCCGGAGCCTGGCTTAACCATTAACCAGCATGCCTCACCCCGTGTCTCTCCCAGCTGGAGATCAGGGACCTGGGTCAGAGGGGACCCGCTGCACCCTCTGCCCAGGCCTGTGCGCAGCCAAGCAGGGAGGGCGGTAAATATTTGTCCTGCGGGAGTGTCTACGCAGGGCGTTCGGGGCAGATACTACAATGGCTCGGGGCCGGGCTGACTCCTGGAAGCGGGACTGGCACCGCCCGAGGCTGGCAGACAGCTCCGTGGAGCCCCGTCCACCCCGCCCCACCCTCACGGGCAG